ATCACTCGTACGCACAACTTAAGAACAAATCTGTGTACCAACGGTTCTTGCATGAGGCCCATTGATTAGTATGGTGTGTTTTGCTGCGGAGGTTGTACTGGACCAGAACCGCCTCACCTGTTCCATCAGTGATAAGGATGTCTTGTTTGTTTGTTTGTTTGTTTGTTTGTTTCGAACACTTAAAAAATAGTAAAAATAATAACATGTACAGATAGATCTTCCTCATTAGTAGCAATGAGGACAGTGTCATCAGCATAATGTAAATTATTGACCTTTGTACCCCAACACTGATGCCAGAGCACCTGTACATGCTGAGAGCTACAGACAGAATAAGGAGAACAKATCAGGAGACCAGACACAACCTTGTGGCACACCATTTTTAATTTTCACAGCCTCTGAGTTTGTTTTTATATCTTATTGAAGCAGTTTGTTTGTTTTTTATGATTCTAGAGTCTGTCCCACTCAGTTCCTTTAGTATTCAGGTGTTTGAAGGCATCATATCGCTGCTTGTTTATGAAGTGTTAAACACCTTTCAGCATCTGTTACAGTCACAATGAGAAGGTTTGAATCGTTTTAAACACGGATCAAACCCAGAAACAAACATGAAGAAAATGACAAAAATCATTAGTTTAAAAAGGAATAAAAAAGAAAAGTTTAATATTTAGTAGAAAAGAAACAGTTAAAACACAACAGAATTAAAATTTTCTGATGAAAAGCGGAAACTAAAGCTGTTTTTTAAATGTTTTTTTAGGTTTCAGTCGGTCCTGGTCTGACGGTCTCTTCTCTCCGCAGCACACGTCTCATAGCAACGGGCGCCAGGAGCTCAGCGGCACGCGCTCCGCCCGCACCGGCGTGCGAACCCGCGGCTCCGATGAGCCGCAGCAGCCTCACGTGGGAAACTACCGTCTGCTCAAGACCATCGGCAAGGGCAACTTCGCCAAAGTCAAGCTGGCACGGCACATCCTCACCGGCAGAGAGGTGGGACGGGCTTGAAGTTTAAATTTATTTACGTAAAGTGAAATGGATCCAAAGCTCAGAAAACATCTCTGTGGGTTTAATCACAGAGAGAAAAAACAAAGAAGTTATTGGGCGTTTGATCGAGATAAAACGAGGCTCTGGTCCTCATGACCTTTGACCTTTTATGATCCTATGTTTGCTGACCTCTGACCTCTGACCTGTTGTTTGACCCATATTAAATGAATAAACAGATTTAATAACCACTCTTCTGTATTAGGTGAATGTTTTTCCTGGTTTCTGATGTTTGATTTCAGTATTTTTCTGAGTTTCTGTCGTGTGTTTTCTCTCTTCAGGTGGCGATTAAAATCATAGACAAGACTCAGCTGAACCCCAACAGCCTTCAGAAGGTAAACAAAGCTAAATGTTTGCTAAATSTCCAGTTTTTCACTGCTTGCTTTTTACTTTTCCTCCTGATGGACTCAGGAAGTGGTTCTGCTTGTTTGGGTCGGAGCTTCCAGCCTGGAAGCGGTATCGACCCGTTGTCCTGTTCTGTTGGTCCTGTCAGGGAACTGTTAGTGAGGATGATGATGATGTTGGGCCGGCCCCCCACTGCTCCGCGGGTTTCCATCAGTTTTTCCAAAGCTCCATTGATCGTGGTCTTTGTGTGTCGGGGGGCCCAGGCCTGAAAACCACTGAGTCATGTCGGAGTGAGCACAGAAACTCGCTGGCTCCTGTTGTTGTCAGGAATCTAAAGTGATCCGTTTGTCAGATTATTTCTGCTGCTGCTCCGCTGGGAGCTTCACTTTCCTTTCATGTTTGATGTGAAGGAAGTGGAGCGGGCTGGGCAGAACCTACTGAGCCTAAAACCTTCTGTTCTGTCACTTTTCCATTTATAGAAAAACTTTCTTCTTTTTTAGGCTGAGTTTGAAAACAAATCTCTAAACTGGATCAGATGTGGAGCTTAACAAATCTAATCCCGACCTAATCCAGCTGGTTTCATACAGGTCAGCTCGTCTTTAAACATGTTTTTATGACCAGTTTTATCTAAACGTGTCGCTTCATGATGAGCAGTTGGTAGTCACGCTGTGTTCACACTACGGGTTGAACCAACAATTCGACTAGTCGAGTAGTCGACTCTAGGAGATCTCGAGTTTTTAAATTTCACGTCGACTAGTCGCAGTCAGGTGACTGCTGGCTACAAAGTGGATTCCAAGATGGAAGTAGAGGAGCAGGAAGAGTCTTCACAAAGTGGAGCTATTAAAGAGTAGAAATAAAAATAAATGCTGTCGCTACGCCTCCTCCTCTGCATGTAACTACCAGACACAGAACCTCAGCCTGGAAATGTCTCCTTGTGAACAAAGCTTTAATTAAATTAACCGCTGACACCTCCTTTCTCTCCTCTCCTCCTCCTCCTGTGAAGGAGGGGGAGAAAAAAATAACAAGGCATTATATGTTGCAAACTGCAGCTACTAAATAGCATTTGTCGATTTTTTTTATTCTCTTTGTTTTGACTCATCGTAAGGTGACCGAGTCAAAAGCGGGACTGTGTGTTGCGTTGTGCTCATGTGTCGTTGTGTTGATCAGTCAGGACCTGGTTGTTAGGAATGCGGTGCCATGTTGCTGTTTTTGTGTGACACAGGTGCAGTGATGGTTTTGTGTGATAAAGTCCTGCAGGCGCACCTGCCTATGACGTCACATCGACGAGTCGCTGTAGAACTCGACTTTTATCATGTTGACATTAGGGGTGTAAGAAAATATCGATACACTGAAATATCGTGATATTTCATTTCCCGATACTGTATCGATATTCTAAAGCCCTGTATCGATTTTTTTATTAAGGTTTAAAATGTCAACTTTCCTGCCAGCCGTTCATTTTTATGTTGTAGTTCAGCCTCTGACCACTAGTTGGCAGCAGTGAGCCAGACATTTGGCTCCTCTACCTCTTGAGCACCAGAGAATAAGGGTAGCATTAGCATTGTGAGTAAACATTAGCTTCATGCTCCGATAGCTGAATCTGAGCRGAAAAGACCGACACCCTCTGCCTTCTAAGCTGAGGTAAGGTTACAAACAGTTACTTATTTGTCACAATGTCTGGATTTTAAACCAAATTAAGTGTCTCGTGCGCTCTTTTTTCCAACTTTAGTCAGCCTTCACGTTACAGAAGGCTAGCGCATGTCTGTAATAGAATTTTCTGAGACAATGAATTTTGGGTTTTCATTTTTTTTTCCAGTAAGAGGTTTTTATTTAATAGAATTTTTGGACCAAAAAAAATCGCAATTTATCACCTTGCTTATAGTATCGCAATATATCGGGATATATCGTATCGTGACCCGTCTGTCAGGATATGTATCGTATCGCCAAATTCATGCCAAAACACAGCCCTAGTTGACATGGACCTTAAAAAATCTGAAGTCGTTCACACCCACCCTGTTCTGAGCGTCAGCAGCCGGGTCGAGCTGAGTCCGTGTTCACATCTGTGGAGCTCAGAGGTCAGGGAGTGAGAGCGACTCTTTATTACTGTGAACTTTTATTAATGAAATCAGCTGCTTCATCCTGCGGCTGGTCCTGGGCTGGTGAAGCAGTTTCAGGTGTGTCGACTGGACTTCCTGCTCCTCAGGTGTTCAGTGAGTTAAAGCAGGATGTCTGAGCTGATAAAGAAGCGTCTGGTTGTCGGTACGATGACGGGTGGGGGTRTTAATTTAAAACAGAGCGTTCCCTCGTGCCTGTTTGTCGGTGGGGGCTGGACTCGACCACTCTGAGCAGAGCTGAAGGGGTTCAGATCTGCTGGACTCAGTGGGACTGTTAGAGACCTCCAGAGTCCTGACGTGTCCTGACTCATCTCTGACTCTGACGGGAAACAAAACGAAACAAAACAAAAACACAGACAGGAAATGACCTCATGGGTCGGTCACAGCTTGTTTTTAAAAACCCAGAACCAGCCTGAAGGAGTCCTCAGGAGTCCGGGACGGGTCACGAGACCCAAAGCTGTGGTCTGACCGGCTCAGCAGCAGCTTTCTGACCCACTTTGATGTTATGTCTCTGCTGCTGTTTTCCTCAGTTTTTTCAATATAAAAGTTCAGATTTTTATCCTCCCGCGGGTCAGAACCGGTCCAAACCGGGCCCAGGAAGAGACCTGTCCACAGAAATGTGAATTATTGCTGTTAACACGTGTTCATGGATTTTCTCTCAGAAAAGATGAATGTGTTCTCTTGGCAGCAGCAGGTTTCCACCAACACACTGATAGATTTATCTGTCCTTTCACAATAAAAGCTGCAGCAGTGAGAGGGAAAAGAATAAATATGATTTAAAGGTCAGAGTTTTAGTTTGATTGGGTTAAAAAGTTTAATTTAATAAAGAATATTCAGAGTCAGAAGCAGCGTTTGGTTGATTTGTCTGTCAGCAGTGCAGCGTGTCCTCCCCGTCCTCCTGAGACATTAAAGCTTTTATTTTCATGGAGCAGGAGAGGACACGCTGCAGGACCGGCTGATCCATGCTAAAGCAGTCAGTCTGCTGCAGGACGTGGTCTGCAGACCTGATGAGGACATGAGTCAGGGTCCGTCTGAGCGTCCTGCTCCAGTGCTCCTCACGACCAGGAGGTCTGGACCAGACCCCTGTCAGGAGGAGGTCTGGACCAGACCCCTGTCAGGAGGAGGTCTGGACCAGACCCCTGTCAGGAGGAGGTCTGGGCCAGACCCCTGTCAGTAGGACATCTGGACCAGACCCCTGTCAGGAGGACGTCTACACCGGATCCCTGTCAGGAGGAGGTCTGGGCCAGACCCCTGTCAGGAGGAGGTCTGGGCCAGACCCCTATCAGGAGGAGGTCTGGTCCAGACCCCTGTCAGGAGGAGGTCTGGTCCAGACCCCTGTCAGGAGGAGGTCTGGGCCAGACCCCTGTCAGGAGGAGGTCTGGACCAGACCCCTATCAGGAGGAGGTCTGGACCAGACCCCTGTCAGGAGGACGTCTACACCAGATCCCCCGTCAGGAGGAGGTCTGGACCGAACCCCCCGTCAGGAGGAGGTCTGGACCGGACCCCTGTCAGGAGGAGGTCTGGACCGGACCCCTGTCAGGAGGAGGTCTGGACCGGATCCCTGTCAGGAGGAGGTCTGGACCGGACCCCTGTCAGGAGGACGTCTACACCAGATCCCCCGTCAGGAGGAGGTCTGGAACAAACCCACCTTCAGGAGGAGGTCTGGACCGGACCCCCCGTCAGGAGGAGGTCTGGAACAAACCCACCTTCAGGAGGAGGTCTGGACCGGACCCCTGGAGGATCTTTGGAGACCAGTTCTGGAGGTTTTAGAGGGACTGTTGTCTCTTTCTGTCCAGATGTGTCAGCTGTCAGAGGCACTCATGCACCCCCATACCATCAGAGAGGCAGGCCTTTAAACTGGCTGATTGGTTCTGAGGACTTGATGTCTCTGGTCTCAGATTTGGATCCATCTGACCCTTTTGTTCCAGAGAAGATGGCAGCGGTTCACATACAGCATCTTCTTTGTGTGATAGAGCTTTAAGCATTCTTCATGTTTACAGTTGTTTGTTTGTTTATTTGTTTGTTTATATTCTCTCTCCTGCTTTCAGCTCTTCAGAGAAGTCCGAATCATGAAAATCCTGAATCATCCTAATATAGGTGAGTGTTTGAACTGAAGAAATGTTTGTTTTTTGTTCTTAACTTTATAAAAATATAGTTAAACTTTAAACGATGATTTTATCTGAACAACTTGTTAAAACTGTTACAGAACCAGAATATTCTGGATGTAGTTTTAGTCATGTTAAGGTTTAAATGAAGTTGAGTGTTTTTATTTGTTTTGTTAATAAATCATCTGTTTTTGTCCTGATGTGTCGCTCAGTGTCTCCTCCTCTTCCTCAGTTCTTCATCCCACATGTTCTGGTTTTAGCAGCAGAGACTCAGCTGCTAAAACCAGCTGCTGCAGGGAGAAAATATATATGAACTTATTTAACAGTGAAGATTTCTGCTCAGAGGATGTTTGACATGATTAATTAATAATATTTGTGTGTGTGTGTGTGTGTGTGTGTGTGTGTGTGTGTCTTCAGTCAAGCTGTTCGAGGTGATTGAGACGGAGAGGACGCTCTACCTGGTGATGGAGTACGCCAGCGGAGGTGAGAGGAGTTTCTTGGTTTTTACTAAAATAATCCTCGGTGTCGTTTTCCTGGATGTGGTGAAGCTTTAAAGTGTCTGTGACATGGTTGTCCTTCAAATACAAAAAGTCAAAGAAAACATCTTTACATTTAAGAAAGTTGGAATAATACACACAATTTAACCCATTTTGTTACATAACTGGCATAATTTCTTTTGAACTTGGCTCAGCCAAAGTGAAACAGGAAGTGACATCATAGAAAACTCTCTGGTCTTTGTTTAATGAAACATTATTATTTGAACTCTGACTCGTAGACTTAAATATGACTAGACTGAGCCCCGCCCATCCCGTCCACAGGTAGTGTCTGTGACATCATGGAGGAGCAGAAACAGACCAAACAGGACAACAGCTCACAGCAAACATAGAAAC